TGCCAGTCTTTGAGCCATCAGTGCCACCTCTCATTGCTCGGCTCTTTGCAATGGAGGCGCACCGTTTCCCGGAACCGGAGACTCAGGCATAGATGGCACAGGGTTTTCATGGAAGCACTGCCCAGTGCATTGCCTGGCTATGTGCCCGACGCCCTCACATCTCAAACAAATGGGTTGGCCATCCCGGGTATACCTTGGCTTAAACTTGGGCTTACTAGGTTTCTCACAAGTTGGGTCAGACCTCTGAATCGTGAGATCACGGACAGCATTGGTAAGGTCCCCGATTGCTTTCCCTTGTTGTGTAATTACCTTAATTACCTCTTGTAGGGCTACAGTCAAGTCATTTGGTACAGTGGCGGTCATCCTTGCATGCTCTGCACTTTCCTCCACACTCACTAGGTTTCGGTTTCAGGCCACATTAGCTGGACGAGGTCTCTCTTCTGAGCACCACAAAAGGGCCTCCTCACGAACTTCGAATAATGTAGCATGAGGTCGCTCTCTGACCACCTTGCGCAGTTCCCTCCGGAGTGCTGAATCCCTCACCCCTTCTATAAACTGGTCTCTCAAAACCAACTGCACATTTGGAACACAATGTGGTGCTTGTTGCAGTGCAGCATTTAACATCAATGACAGTGCATGTGAAAAATCACGAAAATCCTCACCTTCCAATTGTTTTCGTGCATAAAATGTGTGCAACAACTGGGAGGTGCTACGCTTTTCCCTGAAAGCTGCCCTCAAATATGAGAACAGGTCTTCAGCTGATTTATCTTCCCCCCCCATACACAACCTGATTTCATCTAGTGCTGAACCCCTTAAGTGGGAGAGGATAAAATCTACCTGATCCTCAGTATTCAACCCCCTCACTCTTATAACCCTCCCCAGTTCCTCAATGAACTCATCAACATTTTGGCAGTCCTTACCTGGATCCCCACTGAAAGGTACAATTTGTTTCTCCCTTGGGATATACACATAGGATCTAGTATGAACATTAGTCATGTTTGCAAGGGCTGACATTACTTCATCATGTCTACGTCCCAACTCCAATATCTGGGACTGAAGCTGTGAGACAGGGTTACCTTCCTCAATGTCCATTTCCGGCGCTGCAGCACCTGCACCTTGAATGTCTTCCGCCATTGTGGCTGCACCGTCCATGTCCTCAGCATCCATGGCTTTGCCGTAGTCACAGAAAGTCTCAGTTCTCAAACAGTCAGTTCAACAAGCACTGTCCTCCTCGAAGTCCTCACACACAGCAGTCCTGCTACACTGGCCCTTTGTCCTGCTGCCGCTTCTGTCAGGATGGCACTGCAGGTCCTTCCAGCACTACCATTGTTTGCACCCTTCTACTTTTGTACTATCGTAACAAATAAAAATCAGCCCCAAAAAAAACAGAATCCCACTTCTGACACCAAAATTAGATGTGGCCGTCTTGACGTAATTCTAATATACTAAGGAAAAAGACAATGCCAAGACATCTAATAAAAAAGGATTGTAAATATTCTCCGTGAGCGCAGAGTCCAAAGCTCGTGGCCAGTGGTGTTCGGACTGGAGTTTGAACATCTGCTTAATGATATAAACGGGAATCACCCACGAGCTCTCCCGCAGCCGTCCCAGCACAGCACAGGGGAACGATTTCACTCTATGGCTTTGTTCTAAGCAACGGGGGCGTCCCGGGGCTCGAAATTCGTAGGGTAGGAAGGGGTAGTGACGCTGGGTGTAACTAAAAAGGTGCCATTGTCCGGTGAATTCCGCCGCCCCCATTTGGAGATCTCCAGGCTGCAGTTATACCCTTCTCGCATATTCGCTGATGCTGCTTTAGGGGTCATCTGCAAATTTACATCACATAAAAAAACGAAGTCCAATAATTAATTCAAATCAATGTTTACAGTAAATGCCTAGAGGGCAAACTGACTAAATATATATTGCCAATAACTGGCCTTAGACAATACTTTCCCTAAGTATGTACACAAATATTTTTGAAAGAAAACAATTACAGTAATTAGCCAAAATGGGTTTTTCGTGTTCCAAATGTTGTAGTATGTTCCTATTGAACAGACTGACTTACTACAGTTGACATTTTGCTAATATCTTTCTTACTGTACAGTATATAATTATTCTTAAGAAATTACTGTAATTCACCTAAAAGTTTTTTTTAATGTTCCAAAGGTTGTAGTACGCTCCTAGTGACTATACTGACTTGCTATAGGTAAAATGTTGCTGATATCGTCCTTACTGTACATACAGTAGATCAATATTTTAATACTACAACCTTTGGAACATGAAAAAAAAAACTTTTGGTGAATTACTGTAGTTTAAAAAAAAAAAGAAATTTGTATACTGTACATACCGTAAGGGCGATATTGGCAAAATCTAACCTGTAGTAAGTCAGTCTTGTATCTAGCAATGTACTACAACCATTGGAACATGGAAAAAAATAAATTTTTAAAGAAAATAATTGTGTACTGTACATATATGGAGGCAGTTATTGGCAAAATCTCACCTGTAGTAAATCACTATGAGTAATAAAAGATTTACAGTTTGACAGTGTGTTATTTTAAATGTTACAAGTAATTTCAAATAAAATTAATTAAACGCTTTAACCCAGTCGGTGGAATTGTCAGACGGTCCCTTGGGTGCGATACCGCGTCAACGCTTTCTCCGGTTTAAATTTGCACCAACAATACACCTAGGCTAGGCGGTTTTGAATTCCTTTTTTACGTTGATATAAAGTGGTTGCATATTGTTAAACTAATTACTAATGGTAGTGATATCTTTGTGACTGTCGACTCTGTAAATCAGTGGCAAGGGAAAGCGAATGTACGGTGCATATCGAACCCAAAACTAACTGTACGATGCTAGAAAGGCGATTAGAAAGAAAATGCAGCGCGTTGCGTTCTTCTGACCTTATTTGCTTACCTGTATTTGGTTCGCATCAGGCAAGGAAAGCGAATGTACGGTGCATATCGAACCCAAAACTAACTGTACGATGCTAGAAAGGCGATTAGAAAGAAAATGCAGCGCGTTGCGTTCTTCTGACCTTATTTGCTTACCTGTATTTGGTTCGCATCATCAATAAAGTGTATTCCGAGATCTGAGGTCTTCACTGTATTTATCACTTCACTGTATATATCACTGTATTAGTTCACTTATGCGTCGTTGGGGAATCCTGGAGTGTGAAGTATGAGGGAAACCCCTGTATTGCAGCAAAGCATCACACAAGCCATGATACAAAGTTAAGGAAACTAAGCAACCGAAAGCAGTATCTTCCTCAGATGTAATGTTAGTTCTGTACATCAGCGTCGGGTAAAATAGCATTATAATCTCCTTTGCGGTAGAGAAAGCTGCTTACATGTAGGCTAGTCTACACGGGGAAACGAGTAACAGCGAAGATGTTGAATTAAAAGTAAACACAATCAGCTTTTCCGCATATTGATACTGGCCCTGATAATCATAACTTCTGTTTACCGCTTGCTCCATTTCTGCAGATCAGTTTTGTGAATGAATGACTTAATCCACCTGTTGCTTTGGTCTTCATCAACAGCCGCTTGCTCCACCTGCTGGTGAGCGACTGAAAGCAGATGGAGATCATGCATTGGTGCTCTACAGAGCCATAGAAAGAGAGAGTTGCGTCACCGGAAGTCCAAAACGCTCGATCGTCACGTGATTCACGTAGACCTCAAATAGTTCCAGGAAGTTCATAGCGGGCAATTGAAATACATTGAGTTGGAGAGACAGAACTGTGATTTTTGGTAATTAGTAGACAATAAAATAATGTATTTACATTATTTATAAAATAATGTATACATGTATACGTAGTATATATATGTAGTTATATCAGTGTTGTTTTTAAAAGATAAAATCCGCTAATATTTGAGGATTAATGTGGTCAGCTATCCTTACCTGCCTTGTTAACATATTTTAGGCTGAAGTTACCATGATAAAAGTCCGTGTTTGCTATATAAACGACATTGTGGTCTTCTACCAAGGTAACTTCAGCCTCTCTATATAAATATAATTATATATGTATGTATGTGTGTTTTTACAACTTGCACGTTAGTCAAGTTCATTGTCGTTTTACTAATCTCATGGTAAATGTTAAGTTTGTTGTCTTAGAAAATTAATTCCAAATAAATGAAGATATTTTATTAAGTGAAAACAAATCTTGTTTAATGTTTTTGATTCTTGTGCACCCCTCAATTATTCATATATAAAAATATATTTGTAGTACATTCCAATTTAAAACAACTTAAAACATTTTTACACATTTAATCATATATTTTATGTATGTTGACTTTTGTTATGCACTTATTTACAGCAATCGATTTATACATTTATAATAAACTATAAAGCATGTT